GAGGCAATTACTGCGAATTATAGGCGATTTCCAGGTTGAGAACCATAGATATGGGGTACATAGAAGCGGAACCAATAAATTGGCAAAAAGATATTATTAATCCGAAAACAGGAAAAAGAGGCTAAAACAGCACCTGGACATGGATGGCTGGTGCCTCTATAAATAAATCTTTGATGGTCTGGTCTGGTCAGCAACTCTCGTCTGAAAAGGAATGACGCCTATACTATGTACATATAAGTCCTATAGATTTGGGAATGGGCCTAGGCTTCCTCAGATGGGCCTATCCTCCACTCCTGTCTCTCGTATTTTTGTGTTCTATATATTTTGTGTAATGACGCGGTGGAATCAGGCGCACGTCAGTTTTGGGGCATTTGGAGTTTAGGGGCGTTCAAATTTAATAATAATCTGACGCCTGGGAGGGGGGGAGGGGGTCTTTGGCTCCTGTAAGAAAAGTGTAAGAAGGGGGGGGGGGTCTTGAGCTAATGCAATGTTACACACTTTTGTGAGGTGAAAAATATTATTGATATAATGATGAACACTGCCTTTGTTGATGATAATTGACTAACATAATCACCTTTTGTTTTCAGCATAATGATTAGTAATACATGATGTTCGTCCTTCGCTGGCGAAGATGACCTTGACTTCACATCACTGGAGGGGTGGGGTGTTTGCGTGGATGGCTGATCAGGCCGATCTTCGCACGGAAATGTCTGTCGCAATGGGGGCAGGGCATAGAGTTAAACTATAGTGTACATCTATGGGGCAGGGGATGTTTGGGGCTGAATTAGGCTGGAAGGTGGGGCTCTCTCGGTCTTTTCTCAGCTGCCGTCTCCATTCTTTAGTAATAACAGATACAGTGAAATCCTGATAAAGTCAACTTGCTTAAAAAGTCAACTCTTGAGTCAACACCTCAAGTGGTCCCGTTTTTTGTTACCTTTTTTGTTAAAGTAATTTTAAGAAGATCTTTATCTAATTGTGTTTCTGATACAGTCAACCGCTTGAGTGTTAAGCTTGCGTAAAGTCAACAATTTGAGGCTAAATCCCAAGATGAATTCATTTAAGAAGAGATATTTCGCCTGAGCTAGTGGTGTACACATCTCCAATTACTTTATTCTTTCATTATCTCTTGTTTTGGTGACAATTTCAGAATTATACTCCCTGAAACTGAGATTACATCTTGTTTATTACCAGGCACTTTGTAATTTTATAGCTGTCATCTTCAATTTTCAATGGCCAGTACTACACTGGATAAAGCCAACCTTGCTCAAAGTCAACACTTTTTTTCTGTCCGGGGTGTTGACTTTATCTGAATTCCTCTGTAATTTGTTTTATTTGTAATTAAGGCGCTTTTGTCATTGGCATGAGTCTCAATTTTTTCTTTATTAGTAAGAAAGAGTGTATGCAATATTTTGCTTGAATGACTTACTCTAATAAGGCGCTCGTCAAAATAATAAAAGTGAAATTTTTTAAAACTGGCATTTTCCCGCAAGTTTGGGAACTTTTATTGAATTTTTGTTTTTCCGCTAAACACCTTTTATGTCCATATTATATAATAACACATTTCCATGCGAATTTTATTGAAAAACGTTCATTACATGCACAAAATATGTGATTTTTCAGTTTTAAAAGCTCTCAAGCTATTGAAGTTATAAAACTTTGGCGGCCGTTTTCTCACTAAATTTACCCCTGAAATCAGGTGACCCACTTGTAAGAAAAGTGTAAGAAAGGGG